CACAAAGTACAGTACGGAGAGAGAGAAAGCTAACCTTGCTCGATGTGACTTCTGGCGTGGAGGACAGGAAGGCAGGCGGGGAGGCGGTTACTGCTTGGAGGGAGAGTCCCCCTCCCTACAGGAAGCCGCGACCATGTGTCACGGGAGGGAAAATGGCTCTGGATCCTGTTCGTAACCCGATCTGGCGTTCACGAACGGAGGCAAAATTTTGCGAACAGAGCTGTTTGTGAGCCGAATTGTTCGTGAACAGAAGCATTCGTGAACCGAGGTACCACTGTATTTACTTAATCATTCCTATTTCACAATTGACAGAAATTTATAAGATAATCTGAGATGACACCATTTTCTTTCCCAAGTTGTAAAAGAGTGTTGTAATCAAACACCTTTATTGATGTATATTTTCTTGAGATTTAATCGCTAAAATGAAACTCCTAATATCTGGAGTACTTCTGCAGTACTTCTTCTTTAGCAACTTTTCTGTCATTCTGGAAGTCTGCCTATCTGAGGATTGAGCAAGGAATTTATGACTCCAGTATCTCTCATTTTTATGGTCCTTTTTGGTGCTGAGTTCCTCTGATAACAGCATTTCACATTCCTTAACCATTCGAATTAGCCATTGTAGAGTATTCCCAGAATCCTTTGTTTCCTTGGCTTGGAACCAAATGTGGTTTGTTTGGAGATTTTCCATATTTGAGTCACTAATATTTTGTTCAAACTAACCTGCATAGGGGGCAGTACCTTCGTCACAGGGTAAAAATATATAGGTGTTTTTTGTCTGGTTGTTTCTCAGTTACTTTTTTTCAGATCCTTCCTACAAGGGTGAGGCTTGGTACACAATATGCCCAACCAGGATTTTTTCCAGGGACCTAAGTTTCTATCTAAAATGTTCTTCAACTTACAAAGAGCTTCATAGTTGAGATTAAGAAATGGAAGGTAGTCCAGCAACAAACTTGTGCTTTCATCCATAGATCCTAATATTAAGGACAATACTAGGAATCTGAAGGAATATTTAGAAAGCTGGGCTCAGCAGGGAATACTGAATATTTCTGTACCTTGCATGTTCCAGCTGTGGTTAAAAGCTGAAAGACGTAAGCCTTTCAGTTATCCTTTCTCTTCTTTGGAGTACAGATTAGTTTAAAGGATTTACCAGTGATTACGTGACTGGTTTGTGGAGATGAACGTCCAGGGCATTATTGATAGATTTGGATAGGCTTTCCTTGATAGGCAGGATTTAAATTCGAGATGCACAGTCTGGAGCCCTGATCTCATGTGTCCCCAGAGCCTCTGAAAGTTGTTGATGCAGCTGATCACTCTATGAGAAATGTGAAAGATTTGGCCTGTTGACAAGAGAACCTGCATTTTTCAGATTTGTTTGGTTCACTTTTTTCTTACATTGGGCCACTCTCCTGGGTTTTTTGTTTTTCTTCCATGTTTTTCTTTCTGTTCTTTTACATATTTAGAAACATGGGAGCCGATTACACAAAAGGCCCTATGTAGGGCAGAAGCTGAATTTAATTACTGCTTTTATCTTTTTAGCTTTCCTTGGGATTAATATTTGGTCATTTGTGTTAATTTCCTCCTCTCAGCATTTGAGAAGATGGATGTGACGGGGCATTGCAGGGATCTCATCAAGATTTTAAAGCAAGTGGACCAAATGAGGGAGAAATTCACTCCTCTGAAATTGATCGATGCTTGGCTAGGGAAAGGTCTGTCAAAACTGGGATTAGAGATTGCTGCTCCCAAACTTCCCCGTGATGTATTAGAGAGAATCATTGCCCATTTGATTCTGCAACAATATCTGAAGTAAGTCTGGTTGCTTTTCTTAACCTGCCTGTTCTATGCAACCCACAAAAATTCTTTATCAGCACAGTGGTTGTGCCTCTTTCACAAATCGCTAATTTTAGCAATCGGTGCCAAATCATAGTGCATGTCCTGTGAAACTTCTCTAAATCCTTATTTTCTGTTAACCAAGGGCTTTGTCTTCCAGGGAAGACTTCAGTTTTACAGCCTTTGCTACAATATCCTATGTGAAAATAGGACCCAGAGCGGATCTTCTGAAAGATAAGGCTCATGTTATCACTATGCAGCTGATACTGAGCAAAAATAAAACTGCTAAGGTGAGACCATGTAATTTTTTTTTCCTTAGAGTTCAGCAACAGTATCTAGTAATTCTAGCTGTGGTATACTTCAGAGTTAATGTTCCTGGTAGCTTACATTTCTGAGGAGTGCATTAGGATTTTACTATTCCTATCTTCACTTGACTTACGATCCAATACATCTTAAGAGACAAATTAAAAATTAAACGGCCTTTCCAGAAATATCAAGATAGTAATATTGAATTCTGGACCAGGCAGCTCTTTCTTGTTGGAGTTGATTTCCCAAGACAGTTCCTGTTAGCCTTGAACCTTCCAAGGGTAACAAAACTCAATCAGATTTGAATTTTGATGGGGCTGTAGTTTTCCTTGTACCAATGAACTTGTAGCGAGAACACTGCCTGTTTCAAAATTCCACCCCTATACTCTTTTCCCCTGGATGTGTCCCTGAATGCATGTTTGAGTAAGGAGAGCAACTTACACAAGTGACTGCTTGGTGCATGATTTACTCGAACAGTTAGAGTAGGAGCTCTGTAGTCACAAGGTGTTTCAGCTCTGTGAAACTCGCAAGCTGGTGTGAGCCGTTGAAGAAGTTAAAGGCTGGTTGCACTAGCTGCTGCATTAAATGCCACCATTCTAAAACATGACATGTGCATCGGCTAAATGATTCTGTGATCAGTTCCAAAGAGCTGTGGCATAGTCATAGGTGTACATACTTCAAATATGTGAAACACATTGGCATCACTGGCTAGTATTGGTTTACTGTATCTCTTGCTAATATTTAGTTCTAGGGAAGTTAATCTGTTGCCCTCCAGATGTTTTGGTCTACAGCTGCCAAAAATCTCTTGGCAATGGCCATACTGATTTGGGTTGATGGAAATGTTTGGAAGGTACCAACTTGCCTACTATTAGTCTAATCAAAGCAATGTCTTTCCTGTACCTATAACGTATCACGTGGGGTCACGTAGAGTTGGACACAACTTAACCACTGAACAACAACAACCCATGTATAGTTTATACTTGACTGAATATGTTAAAAATGGCTTGATCAACAGGTGAAAAGCTCTCCGTTATCCAGTCCGAGGACCCCAGGAAAGAAAATGAAGGTTACATCCCAAAAACAGGAAGGTGACCCTCCTTCAAAGGATCATATTAAAGCAAAAAAGGTCAAACTTATGGCTCATGAAGAAGATGAGCCTGTGATCATAGAAGATTAAAAAGTGGGGTTTTTGGACAACCTGCACATCTTTGCACGTGGGGAAGACAGGCCAGAGAGTCAGGAAGATGAGGTTGGAGAAAGCAGCTAGGCCACCCAAAGCTGGCTGCTCACAGCTGCTACTACCTGTTTACAAAGTCATTTTGGCAAAAGAAAATGCTTTTCTAGCTTTTTTTTTAAACAAACAAAAACAATACAAGGTTTTAAAAATACAGATATAAAACATGAGGTAATAGACCTGGAGGTTTTGAGGCAAGTACTAGAGTCTTGGGATACAGGAAAGGAAGTGTAACTTAAAAAAAGGCACGGCTTTCCGTGTATAAAATATTCCAATTTGCTGCTGAAATAAAAATGCCTTGAAATGAAGCTCAAACCTTGATGAAAATGTTCATGAGTAACTTCTCTTTGATAACTCCGGTGCGCAGTTTATTTTGATGGAAGTGTCTAATTTCAAAAGTAATTCCTGGAAGTCAAGTGATCCAGTGATTGGCCATAAAAATCCACTTCTGGAATAAATATTCAACAGGGAACTCAGTACAGAGTGCTTCTGATAGTGTGTTTACTCTACCCACCATCACTAAAAGACACATCTGAGTGGATTTATGTAGAATGAAGTTTCCAGTTCCAAATATCAAGTGAAACTGATCCAGTATTTTTTTAAATGGAGAAGAATACTTGAAGGCTTTGGGTTCTATTACTTAAAGAGGCCCTTCCTTCATCTGTATAAAACATCTATGAATATAGAACACAGTTCCATTAGTATTATGTTTCCACTTTTTAAAATCATCATAATCAAAGGATCATGTTGATGTTGTCTTGAAGATGTGACTGGTATTGTGCAAGCATTCAGGCTTCCTGATTATATTACAAAACGATTCACTCTTGATAAGTGGGAATGAAAACTTTGAGCTCAAGGTAGCCCTTTGTTTTTTTTTTTAAATTCAGCTAGTTGATGGGGTTCTTATATGAAGAAGACACCTCCAGGATTTAGAACATGCCTTGCTTTCTACATAATAGAAATAATATTTCAAAGTAAATGTTTATTATCAAATTGGAGCAGTTTCTGAACCCTAGTCACCCTAATAGTATCTGTAAAAGGTTTTAATTATGGCTTATGTCTTAACACATGTCAATTAAAACCTTTACATAGTCTAGTGTATTTTCTCTTGAATTTTAAAAAACTACAATGTATTGTATTATCACATTAAAGGCATTGTCCCCAGAATATCGAGAAGCTGCCTTGAAATTCTGAAGATTGTCCTGAATGTTTAAAAGGAAAATGTGATTTTCCTTGAGGTTTTGCAGAAAAGAGTTAGAACATAATGGGTGCCTAGTGAAGGGCCTTCACTCATATCCATTCTTTATAGAAAACTCTTTTAAGTATGTGAGGATGGATTGTAATAGTTTAGGCCTGTATAAAAACAGACTGGATCCCCACATTGCACTAAGCTTGGCCATGATTTTGTACAATGTGAATGAGGTTACAGTCTTGAGCAAATGTTGCTCCTCAGGGTATCATTTGCTAGTCTAGAGGAGTGTTTCTCAACTTTAGCAACTTTAAGATATGTAGACTTCAGCTCCCAAAATTCATGGCTGGCTGGGGAATCCTGGCAATTGAAATCCACACATCTTAAAGTTGCCAAGGTTGAAAAACACGGGTCTAGAGGAAGGCGTGTCAAATTCTAGTGATCTTCCTAACTTGTTCCCGCTATTCTGATCTTCTGTTTCATGCAGCCTGCTTCTCCAGCTTGGTACCTGGGGGCATTAGCATCCTGCCGTCATATTCTTTAGGTCAGTATTTTTCCTTGGCTTGAAAAGAATAATTTTTTAATAATTAAGAAAGCCAGGAAGCTAGCATGCTGAAAGTCACCTGCCTCAAGCATAACCTGTATTTTCAGGAGAACCTCTGAAGCCCACAGGTATTTCAGATCTGGGGATGTTATCACTGGCCACAATTTTGTAAGTGGGCCAGTAACATGCTCTCCATATTTCAAAAATTCCCCTTGGCCAAAAGGCTTAGGGACTCCTGTTCTACAGCTGTCCTTTGTCTTCCATATTATTTCCAGCTCAGAAGAATGAAAACCTTTTCAGATGATCTCCACCAGAAGGCTTTTCTCACGGTCTTTTACAAATACAAATCACTGTTATAAATTAGGGTTCCTAATGTTTTGGGGCCAACAGGCACATTTGAAATTCAAAGAATAAATCTGAATTTTTTTTCACAGAGCACCAATTTGCAATAAAGCAAACTGCTGAATATTAAATCCCCTACTCTCAATTCCCTCTTCGTACGGAGGGGGGAGTAAGTGGACATATTTTTAATACTGCTGTCATACAATCCTCCTCCAATTTTACCTGCTAAATTGCCTGTGGGATGGTCTTTATGTTTGGAAATAAACTTAATGCAGCAGATTGGGCTTTCAGAGCATTCAATCTAATTCCTTAAATAAAGTTTTATAACAGTTAAGCATTTTACATTTCAGTTTTGAAGGAGAGGAGGGGGATAAGCAGAGGTCATTACAGCATTTGAAAAGAAGACAGCCGTGACCCAGCTAGAATCAAGTTGCTGTTTTATCCCAGCACGTAAACCATTCATGCCATAAACTATTTTGTATGATATTTATTTATATTCTTTAGGTCAGTATTTTTCCCAGCACTTTAAATAAAATATAGTTTCTTTGTCTTTTGTCAGATGCCACATGTCTCTGAAACTGGGGTTATACCAAGTCTAATTAAGTTCATTGCAGTCCAGTAAAATCATTTTGCCTCTTCGGAAAAAGTCATAGATACTGATTTTTTTTCCAGATGTTTAGTCAAAATAATCCTCAATATCAATATTTGGATCCAAAAGGTCTTCGCCATAGCGGGAGAGATCCATCTGATTTAGAATCAAGTTTTCAAAGGTTTCTTCCAAATCTGTTTCTCCTATCAGCACTGCTCCCAGCATTCGTCCATTTTGCATCACCACTTTGACGTACTCCTGTCCTTTGGTGCACCTCAACATCAGTTCATGGTCTAAACCCAGGCCTTGAGCATTGTATTTTCCCAGCAGCACCACCTAGACAAATACCAAGTCACAAAGAGCAATGAAGTATGATATACAACTACTGCAAAAAAGCACAGAAAACGCTTTTTAAATCCACTAAACCCATTATTGATTTCTTTTGGATCTACTATACAGAATAAGACTGCATCCTATACTTTCTTATAAAGGTGGTCCTCTGCAGGGAAAGTAATTTAAAATATCAAAGTACTTACATATATCTGATCACACAGAACTTAATACTATGCATAGTATATTTAACCATATCACTGGTCTGAGATGGGTGGCTATAGAAATTGAAAGAATGAATGAATAAATAAATTTTTAGTCACTTGGATATTTAAAGACCGTGACAAGACATTTTGAATTCATTTATGTTCTATGTGTATCTGAGTCTTCTGCCATTAAAAATTAGGTGTAAGTCCTATGGCAGCTTAGAAATCCAGTATGAAATTGCCATTATTTTAGTCATGAAGAATTTGGAGCATTAAGCGTCTTGTGCCAGATGTGTTAAAATGCCTTCTTGAGGATCGTGGTTGGTAGCAAGTATTTATATCTACTTATATCTGCCCAATATTGTATCCATGTTTAGAAATTAGAAGTAGAAAGGGCCCATTTAAGACATCAAATACACCTGCTTGGTGCAAGTCTCCAAATTAAATCACCCTTGGACTGCCAGAAGCTCAAACCGGTCAATCCTAAAGGAAGTCAACCCTGACTGCTCATTGGAAGGATTGATACTGAAGCTCAAGCTCAGATACTGTGGCCACCTAATGTGAAGAGAGGACTCTTTGGAAAAGACCCTGATGCTGGGAAAGATTGAA